ACTCTTTTAGAATATTTTGCTGAGTTTACACACCTATAATATTTAAATGATGGAACTTAACAAACAAAGGGGATACAGATGAATGTTCATTTTGTATCTGTGTATTCAAAATGGTTAGGATAGATATATAGTTACATTCTCTTAATGAATAGAGGAATTTGTTCTAATAGTGTTTGTAAATAGGATATCAAGTCCACATCTTGTACAGCAATTAACCAAGAGGAAGAATGCATGCAATGTGTTAATTATTGAAACTGTCCTACCAGTTTGGTTTGAAACCGTCTCATTGCTCTTTGTTTCTCACTAAAATTATGGAAAAAAAGAAAAAACAAAGCAAACAATAATAAAAATGTAAGAAATTCAAAAGAAAGAAAAAAAATAAGAAAAACAACAGAAAATTAAATTCTCCTTTCAAAAGACCAGCAGAAATCAGCAGTACAATTATCTAGAACATTCTGTGGATGTATGTGAACATAATTTTTCCTTGTTTGATTTGTCCTTTTCCTCATCCCAGTTTTTCCTTCCTATTGAACAGATTCTTTTCCTTTCACAGTATGTGTTATACCTTTCAGATTTTAATTACTCTTTCAGGTTCTCACAAAAATGAGATAATAGAATGTCTGCACATGTGGATCTGATTTATTTCACTTACCAAGATAGTCTCTAGCTGCACCCATTTATCTGCCTGGAAGAATACATGAAAACCCATAAGTTATTTTTTGTCATGGCTATGGAGAAGAGAGACAAATGAAAGCAAAGCAAGCAAGCAACAGAACACACTAAATAACATATTTGTGTATATACACAGTTCTATATGTATGATATTTTTGAAAACATATTTGCTTGTAAGTCTAAACAATAAAACATGAACTAGGGTTAAAGGTTTTTTTTAAAAAAAAGAATCAATCACAAACTCCAGAAGCCACCCCATGACTGCGTGAGGCTTTGGGGGGACACCTATATACTGTGGGGGGCGATAGAATGCTCCTGTTATATTTTCTCTTATTTGGGCAAGA